AGTTCTACTTATGACTGCTTTCATTTGTAAGAGGAATGATGAGCAGGATACTGGTCCAGATTATTGCGAATTATGAACTGGTACTTGATAGATCCACAGTAGAGATAATTTTGAATCTTGATCCCACTTGTAATCATGGACAATTCAGGTTCATAGTAGTGAGCAACTGGTTTGCCCTCCAAATCGACAACGAAGACACCAGCATTTTTCTCCATATTTGGTCTTCCGACGTACTTCACCAGTAGTGCTCTAATCTTCCTGATGAATGGATATCTGTATGCCATCTCCCAACCTTTCGCAATTCCCTGGCATACATAATTGTTCCAAAAAAATTAAACGTTAATTGCCTTTCTCCATCGAGAGGGAAGCTATTCAACACAATATGAAGGTACTGACCCAAGGAAATGCAATCCAATAGTGGCCTTCTCCATCATAATGAATATTATCAGGATAGCCAGGTAAATCATCTACAAATGTCTCTATTTCTCCCTTCTTCTCTCCCTGTATGTTAATTTTTCTGCATCTTCTTCTGCAATATGTATCATTGTAATCAAGCTATCTACCTTGCAATGACAGAGATTAACTAAGCTGAAATTTCTCGCAACATCAATTACATATAGAAATGTTTGTTTGACGGTTTTCGAAGCCAACAGCTTCTAGGGCAGCAGTTTCCCAAGGAACTGCCAACCAAACTTCAGCAGACAGATAAAAGTAGAAGAAGTACCTTGGGGTTTCACACAAAATGACATAGTTTTGATCTGGTGAAACTGCAACTCCATTGGCAAAATAGAGATCACGGACCAACACCTTGGTCTCTTTTGTAACAGGGTTATAACTACACAATCGACCATAGGGTCTACCTTCCAAAAAATCCCACACAGCATGATGAACGTCATATTTGTAAGAAGCATCAGTAAAATATATAATGCCATCTTCTGCTACATCCACGGCATCTGTTAATTTGAACTTTAGATCCTCTGCACCATCCGTTAATAGCTCCACAGCCCCACCTTCACTAATGTTCAGAAGCCCCTTTTTAAACATATGCAAAATATACTTCATTAATTATATATCATAGAGAAATGGTGGTAGCAATTGGTTAAAACTTAGCAAAGAGATTTTTGTTTTGTAGTTTAGGTTACAATTAGATTCAAAAACAGGAATAATTAAATAGGAATGGGAGACAATTTTAAATATTAAGAAAATCATTTTTATTTAATAATTTAAATTATACAATATAAACTGCATAATATAGACTCTTTTTTTATTTTTTATTTTTTATCAATACTAGCAAATTACTTTTATTAGCAAATTCGAATCATACCTGATTTTTGTTTTTGTTTTGGTGTTTTTTTTTTTTTTTTCTTTATGGGTTCTTGAAGATAACACTTAATCACTACATAAGGACTTAAATGATTGAATTTTTAGAAAAAAAATATAAAGGAGATTAAGTACCTTAGAAGCATCGGCGACAATAAGTTCATTGTTGTGTCCGAAAACGAGTCCGAGTGGACTGCCGCCGGTATTCACAAAGTTCTGGACCTGCGCCTCAGCTGATGACTCGTTCACCGTGACTCGCTTGATCCACCCGTCTCGACATCCCGTGTAGATGACCTGCGACTTGGCATCATATGCAATATCTTCCGGTCCCTCCAGCTGCCCCTTACCCAAAAACTCTGCTCCTTCCAGCATGTGATCGTTCACCATCGAGGCGGCGACGGGCGCCACCGAAGACAACTCTTGGAGGGGTATAGGAGACGGGTCAAAGGAGTCCAGATGGTAAACAAGGACAGCTGCCACTACAGGAGCCAGAAGCGTGGCGAAAACAACCACAACCGCCCCCCATAGGCCCTTTCCTCGCCAGACAGAAGCAGTATTAACCGACGAGGCAGTGTTTGAACTCGATGCAAGCATATTGCCCGTGCCGTGCTAGTGCTGTTGTAAGAAGTAAGAACTAAGGTCGGAGACTCAGAGGAAACGTACGTACATTGGATAAGATTTAGAAATTAAGAAAGTTGAAAAAGGAAAACAAGGCTCGCTCGTAAGTGGTCAGTCCAATTTTTTATTTTACAACTTATTTTTAAATCATCGTTTGATGATTAAAACAACCCAAAAGATATTTTTCATATCAAACTGTTTATAAAAAATATAATTTGACATATAAATTTATTAAAATATTTTAAATAAATTTGTATATTATTTTATTAATAATATTTTAATAATTTTATTATTAAATTATATTTTTAAAGT